GTTTGTGTTCATTATTTACCTCTGTGAGAATCTAGTGCATCAATTTGATGCACTGTTGTATGGTTTGTTTTATTGCATTGCAAAATGTTTGATGAAATCATTGGTAACTTCAGAATTAATTTCTACAAATTACACAGCTTTTGCAAATAAAAGATCTTACTTTTATATCTGATATTGGAATGAAATTACAAAACTCAAACTTTTAGAAAATTTCATCATGACATCTTTTAAGAAACAATTAAAAAATGCTTAACTTTGTAATGTAATCTAATCATTGATTTTTGTCTTCCTACAGTCTTTTAAAACTTTTGCATAAGAATTTTATTTCATAAAACTGTAACTTCTATCTTTATTTTGAGTAAAAAAAAACAATGCTTACAGTTTTACTGTGTTTTCATACAATGAAAATAACTTTCATCCCTTACCAAAATTATAAGCAAGCCGACTTGTTTAAATGTTTCAAGAAAAAAGTTTCATTTAAAATACTTAAATTATTATCCTGCTTAATATGAATGTTTTTAAGATTTCGTTACACTGACAAGGCCTAACACCATGTCCTTATCAGCAATATGAAATTTTATATTGTGGGATGCAAAAATCATTTAATAAAATGTACCTCATCTTTTTCCACCCACACACAAAATTCATATCACATTTCAACATCTTAGTTCAAATGAAGTATAAAATGATAAAAGAAGATCTTTGAAAGCTTTTAAAAAAAAATCAGGACTGTAATTGTAGCAGATATCATTCACAAATACCCGTTTGTAAACTAACAGAATATCACCAACCTAAGCTTTTAACACAATGTTCCAATCTCTGTGAAAATCTATGCTGAAATGGAAGCCTATTCAGCTTTTACAGTTGTAAATAATGGAAAAAAAAAGAAGAGATGTTTTTATGTTAGCAGCCTGTGACTTCTGAAGTTGAGATATAGAAAATTATATCACACCACAAAAATCAAGGTTGAGAAACAGTGATTGGCTACAGATTGATACACTTTTATTCATGTTATTAGGACAAATTAGTTCTATTTCATTTCAAATGTCCTCCAAGGGGGAGTTATGAGTGCCATATTATGTTCATAAAAATTCAGGAAATTCTTATCTAGCGAGTTAAAATAAATCCAAAATCAAAATTTGAAATATTTTAGATTTTATGTATAGAATTAAATAAATATTTTTCTTGAATAACTTTCCAATCTAACATACTTTTGACAATAAAGTTAGAAAAACAACCTTTCCTTTCCAGATAATTAAAAAAAAAACTTAAATTCAACCTATATTTTGCCTTTGTGCCTTCATCAGGGCTGATACAAAATCACTAAAGCATTTTCTTAATGGATGAAAATATATGACTAAAAGTTGATTTTCTACAGTATTTTTAGTTCAATGGTAGAATTTTGCCCTCAAGGCAGACTAAGCCCATCTCAGCTAGGAAGAATAACAATTTTATAACAAAGATACATGCAATTTAGCTCACAATTACAAACCATTATAAAAATCTGTGGGTATTTTACAAAGATTTGTGTTTATATTGTTTTGTTAGATTTTTTTTTTAATTACGTGTATATAAAAGAAAAAAAACAATGATTTTTGTTGATTTCTAAGACACATAACTTATGCAAAAAAGTTTTCTATTTATAGATTAACAGACACCCTTTTGGAATTTCTTAATAAAACTATTACACAAATTGGAATACATTTTCATTAAATGTCATAATGCGTGACAATGAACTGCATATTGTAATATAGATTATCTTACTCACAAAAAGTTATAAATTTTTAAATTCATTTTTAGAATTTTTTTATGATAATTAATGTACCTCATTTTAATTAACTTGTGTTCCATATCAATGGAAGATAAACAAAACTGTTTTGTAAAGTCATTAGTATGTTGAAGTATATATATACATACACACACACACATATATATATATATATATATAATTTGGCAATAAGTGAAAACATACTTTGTGTGTGTGCATATTTAAAGATACATGAATAAACGTGATTTACAGATGAGTTCAATAATATTATTTTTGCCAAACACACACCTAACAGTTAGATGTATTTGTATTCAAATGTAATTGTGATTACGGCATAAATCAGTTAATAAAACACAAGTTTTTCCACAGTAATGGAGGTGGGAGGATGCAAATTGTGTTTATTTGTGGAATTTTGCACAAAGATACATGAAGGTTATCTGTTCTAGCCATCCCCAATGTTGAAGTGACAGACTGGAGGGGAGGCAGAAAATCAACACCACTCATTGCCAACTCTTGGTTTACTCTTATCAGACTGAAAAGTGGGATTTAACTGTCACTCTTATAACACATCCATGGCTCTAATATATGTAATGGAATGTAAACCACTGAAACTCAGATCTATAACTTGCTCCACTAAGCACTGGGCCACACTGATAATAGCAGTTTTTCTGCAAGTAATGATCTCAACTGGGTTTCAACAAGTATTTGTGGCACTTGTCTCCGTCACTGTTTCAAAAGCTTTAACAGTTGAAAACAAATAGTAAGCTGTCTAAGCTTACCAGTTAATATCTCCAAATGGTTCCAAATGTATATATGATTTAGATCTGCATTCTGGATGGAGTACTAAAAGACAATTATTTTATTTTGAAACCATATATAGACTGTATACATTTTGCAGCAGAAAGGACTATCCTGTGGTCAAACAAAAATAAACTATGATGTGTGTAGTATATTATTTTAAGACCTTATGAAACCAAGAATGTTAAGATGTGCATATATTCCTATGTACAAAGTGCAGAATGAATGCCACTTCAAAATACTTCTATCATAAAATCAAAGTACTTTTACCTTTGTACAAAGTTAACATTTTCATTACCTGAAAAATGTATTTCAGATAAATACTTACCTCTCTGCACAACAAAAAGCTATTACCTTGCACTACTGCCATGAAGAGTTTTGCAGACACTATTGGCCATGAACAATGCTCCCACCTCTACAAGTATTCTTCTGTTTTCTTTTCCTCTCTCACTGCTTGGTGACTCACTCAATCCTACACAATCCTAGACATTCCTCTTACCCCACCTCACCCAAACTTATATCTGTTTGGAGCCCTTAGGGCTCAGTACTAAGTCTAACGGTTTATAACACTCACATATGCTGATTTCCATACCTGTGATGACTGCAGCACAGGTGCCATTTTGTGTTGCTTTGTGCTTGTCGACAACTAAACCTACAAACAAAGCTTCTCACTAATGCCTCTGTTCAGGTGGGGTACAATTCAAGACAACTGATGCACTTCCAGGGTCTGGTTTTCAGGAGCAGTTTCTATATACTTACATTTTTATAAAGTTGACTGCTCAGCAGGCTTACCATCATCTTTCTCTCATCTTTCAGTAGATGAAAGTACTTGCTCTTAGGACTTCTGTCGTCCTTCCTCTAGACTTTCTGTTTTGGGCCCATAACCACATGTTGGATCAACTATCTTGCATAGACCACATTCTTCCCACAAACTGGTCTTTCTCTGTCATTTCTCTGGTGTTTTCAGTGGAGTTGCTCCCACTATGAGAGTCCTATCATTGCTGCCTTTACAACTCCCCTCAGCACCTAGTCTCTATTCTTTTAATCGTATGTTATAGACATATTTTCTTCCCCTTGCTTATGTGAGCCATTGCTATCACTTTTTTGCCTTAGAAGCTTCTTGCAATATTTACCACAGGGAACACTCCTTTCCCCCTAAGGAAGATACGCGAGTGCTTTCTATAATTTACAACAATTATTCTGACCAAGACTGTTTTTTGTACAATATTAAGGCAGTTTAGTGTTGTTCTGCTCTCGTATGTGATGCTTGTCATTGTATTTTCTTTCAATAGAATCTCTTTTCTTCTCGTAGCTTATCACCTTCCACTTTTACTGATCGGATTCATCAACTCATTTGGTTTCTTTGTTTTTCCATGAGAGGGGATGCCTGTCAATTTTATCAGATGACCTCCCATCATGTTCATTATCTCGTAGCTCCTCTTGCCTCACACTGTCAATGAACTTTTCATGAGAACTTACAGGCAGAAAAGTGGATGATCCCTAACTCATTTGTCTCTCATTACTTTGGTTCCCTCCAGTTGTCATTCTCCAATCTTCCCAGTAAAGTCAAGTAAAGTGAGAATTAATTCTTTTTATAGCTCCCTCATCATCATTATTATGTCTCACACACTAGAGATGATGGAACCCATCAAGTGGCTAGTAATGCCTCACAGGCAATACTTCTCATTCCAAAAATCTGCAACAAATGTGAGCACCTTTCTATGTTATTATTTGCCAGTCTTGATCCAATCCATAACTGAGGTTGTCTTTGGCTTTCAGGACTTTGCTCAAATGACTGGTAAATTCTTTGCAATTTCTTTTATCTGCTCCAGCCCCTCCATTATTTTCAATGTGGGATTCTAACTCTTTATTGTGCATAGGGTGAGTAAATGTTTCTAAAGTTCTTACCTAAAAATGTATTTCAGATAGATACATCTCTCTAAAACCTCCCACCTTTCTGCTCTACTTCCAGTGTCTTTAATTTGTCCCTTGGTTCAAATGCTAGTGCTCATGAGGATTACTGTGCACAGAAAATCTTTCACTCCTCTACTGGTGGAAAGCTGTAGTAATATGGTGATTAAATCAAAGACTTTTGCAATACATATTAATATGTATAGAAGCAAGCTTCATTCAAGACTTGTGGCACGTGTAAAAATCTTTCACTGCACTGGTGCAAGGTAATAGTTCTTTATTGTGAGGAAGTGAGTAAACATTTCTAAAATCAAATTATAAAAAATTTTATTTCTTTAGTAAAAAAAAACATTTAATGTCTAAATTCAAGATCAGCTTAACCATTAAACATACCTCTTGGAAGGTGTAAAAGTAAGTCTACTTGCCAGAGCCACATGTTGAGAGATGATGTAAAGTCTGGTTCACAAAGTAATAAAAGAAGAAAAATAACAACTGCTAGGATGAGGTTAGATATAGATGTTGGCCACATACCATTGTGAATAGAATTCCTGGAATATGCACATACATATGCTTTATATACACACAAACAAATGTTCAAACTAATAAATGCACAATTATATTTCTTTTAGATGCAAAAATTGGCAGAAAAATATTTTGTTTACTTTGTTACTTTTCTCAACCTGAAAATTGTATTAAGACAGAACATTTTTCTACAATTTATTATACCATCCTAAGACTATTAAAAACCACCTATTTATATATATATATATATATATATATTCTATTTTCAAAATTTGGGTTTGAGTTAAATATTAAATAATGCCCTATCAGTTTTGAATAAATACTAAATTCTTAAAATGAGAACTTGGATTGTTAAAAACATCAGACAGTATGTTATTACTGTTAACATGATGTGGAAATATAGGTTGAGATAACCATACACATACTGAGGTGGCAGTAGAGCAAAGTAGCCAAGACTGGAAATATACGTTTCAAGAAAGGTCCAGTCAGAATTTTTTTTGCAGTTTATATTTAAACACTTGCACTACAAATACAAGAAACAATTTAACTGAGATTTTTGGATCAACAATCAAAGGAAGAAGATGGGCTGAATGGTCTCTTTTCATCCGTAACCTATGTTTTTATTTGACAGTCTTGATCCAGTCCATAACTGAGGTTTTCTTTACACTTTTTGGACTTTGCTCAACTGGATGGTAAATCCCCAGCCTTTAGTAAAGGTAACCTTGCTTCCTCAGCATTTCTTGTCCCAGACCTTTCACTTGCACTTTTGACAAAGTCACAGTGGACTCCTCGACAGAGATGCTTTTCTCTTGCATTATTATTCTGGACTTCAGCACTTGATTCAGGACAACAGCCTTGTTTTCTGATGGGTTTCTTGCTGATTTTTATTAATTTTATAATTGCTCTTAATCTTGCTTTAGAAATGGCTTTGTGAATTTTATTTTTCTGCTTTACTTTTTCTTAACCAAGTTGTTTTAATCGGACTTGTAGGCACTGTAGCTTGGCACTTGAAATATTTCGATTAGTTAACCATGCTGAGAATAATTTGACATGCAGTTCATCTACCTTATAATCTTTTTGCCATTGCTTTAATAATTCAGACAGGAGTTACAAACAATGCCAAAACGTTGGCCAAGAATGTCAGTTTTTCTGTACCCACTGTCCATGAGGCCTATTTAACTTCCTTCATACCACTGATAATGTCAGTTATTTTTTCACAGGTTTATTAATGAGGACACTTGCACATTAAAAAAAAACCAGCATCAGTGAATGATAATGTGGGTATAAAAGAGGATAATAAATGAAAATTAACAGATATTAAGTTATCACCTAGTGGTACATTATAAATCTACACAAAACTGTTTTGCACAGTTTATACATACAGTCTATAAGAAATGTTCCTATTGATCTTTCATAGTTCCCCCCAAAACTCAATGAAAATTTTCTGTAAACAAAAAACTACCACCCTTGCTAACAGAACTTAAGTTTTTATATGGGTTTAAAAACATTATTAAAGAAACTAGAAATATTATTACAATTACAAAAAAATTGCATTCTAAATATTGATATTGTGAACACGTTTCATTGAAAATGACTAAAAATTTGACACTGGCATATAAAGACATTTAATTATGTATGTATGTATTGTTTTCTGGATTACTTTTTAAAAAACATTTTTTATTAAAAAATAACTCAAATTTGCTAAAAATACTTTCAATTGTATCATAGATACTAAAATTTTACAAACACATGGAATTTCATTCACAAGTTCAATAATGTATTTGTTGACTTTCTCTATCGATACATTAAATGCCTATAAAAATAACATTATAAAAACCATTTATATAATAAGCCTCATACAAGTTTCACTCGAATGTGTAAAGTATACCAATCTACTCTTTCATTCCTAGTATCCAATGAATTCAACCATATAAAAAGTTTCACAAAACACAAAGTGACAATGATGCTTATTCAATAAGATTCTCTTCATTCACAACATTACAAACTCTTAAATTCTGAATATGAATTTACACAAGATAATCAAAATTATATAAAGAGGGAATATAAAATACATTACTTATCTATGAAGTTCTTACATGATACTTAATTACAGAAATTAATTATTATACTCTCTCAATCTATGCATGATTGTTTGTTTTGAATTTCACGCAAAGCTACATGAGGGCTATCTGCATTAGCTGTCCCTAATTTAGCAGTGTAAGACAAGAGGGATGGCAGCTAGTCATCACCACCCACCGCCAGCTCTTGGGCTACTCTTTTACCAATGAATAGTGGGATTGACCATCACATTATAACACCCCCACGGCTGAAAGGGCGAGCATGTTTGGTGTGACGAGGATTCAAACTCGCGACCAGCAGATTGCGAGTCAAGCGTCCTAACCACCTGGCCATGCCGGGCCTCAATCTATGCATGAATAGTTCCGTAAAAATAAAATTGAAAAGCAAGTAGCAAACGCAAATGAAGAGAAAATCAACATTTATGAAGTTTTATACAAAGCATTACAAACTTAGAACAATTCATTTTAAGTTATGTCTGTTTGTAACTCATGAATTATAAGTTAGTGAGAAAACTTTTAAGCAACAAAAAAAAAAAGAATTATTATTACTATTTTTATATTATTTTATTGCATCATATGGTCCAGATCATTACTGAGCACTGGCTATCTATCAAGATACTATAATACTGGCAGCTAGTTTAAGTCTTATTTGGACCACTGCATACACAATATTTTATCTTTTTCTTATACATTGATGGTTCTAAAAAATTTGAACTTTAGCATGTTAACCTTTATGAAAATATGGTGATAGAAGTTACAGACTTTTCAGTTCTTAAAAGAGTAAGGAATTGTTTTATGAAAAGCTAATATTCATACATCTTCAGCACCTTTAAGGACCAGTTTTTTACTTTCTGTTCTTCTAACTCAGTTTTCTTTTGTCTCTTTAATGCTCTTTTTTTTGCATTACTACTTAAGGAGGGTTTGAAATTAAATTTTTAGTTGGATTGCACCACATATTGAAGTCATTCATGATATTATACCCTTTGCTTGATTTTCCTTTACTAACATGTGTGTCAGAGAGAAAAAGTATATATGCTAATTCTTTCCTTTAATACAGCAAGGAAAAGTTACTTCATGAAGCTGGCATTCCAACTCCTATAATAGGTTTATAATACCTTCAGGGCAAGAAAAAAGTCAACACAAGCTTTTCAACTACATGTACAGATCCAAGGTCATAGGTACATTATGCAATAAATATAAATAGGAGTTATCAGCTACAGAATAATAAAATCTCACAAAAGTAAATCTTGTTAGTAAATGAACATCTAGTGGCACATAACAGTCTCTCAATTTTATACAGAAACGGTGTATAAGTACATTTATAATTTGCCCTCATTTTAATATCAAATTAAACTGAAAATCTTTATCTACTTAGGCAAATTCTGGTACAAACAGACATTTTGTAGAACAACTGTGTAATACATAAGCTCTGCACTACTTAATAGCAAAAGAATATACAAATATACATATAGTTGGTACAACTGTGCATATGTGTACATGTATACATACACGTATATGTGTTTACACACACACACATATATATATATATATATAAAACCAAACAGCTTGTACAAATAAGTTTACACAAGCCTCTGCATTTCTTTTAATAATATGCCAATTGATGACTTATTCTTACATTTACTGTATAAATTATCTGAAACAGATATATATTTTATTATTAGTTCCTTCACTTATTTACCACACACTAGAAGAAATACATGTACTTGTAATAGAGGTTTGTAAACTGTAATGGCAAACTAACAAGCTATTGCAAAATATACAGGTAAACAAAACATTTTATCCTGATACTAGTTAACTACAGTACTAGACTAAGCATAATAATACTGCATAAAGATTTTCTGAAATTTGTTTGCTGAATTCAATAGTTAAACATATGGAAAACCATTTTCCTACTTGACAGTTAATGCAAAAGAAAAATAATGATAATGTGATTCTACAAATAAGTTTACTTGATAGGAATTTAATTTGGAATATAAACAAGCACCAAACTTGATGCAGGGTGACATGAGCAAGGCCATGGGGAAAAAAACTACCAATGTTGTATATCCATCAGCATCAGAATTAACTATGCAACCACTATTGTTAGAATTCTTGAAAACAGTATGTCTTTATTTTTAGTACTGGTACATTTATGTATTTTTATTGCATTTTTAATGTTTATTATGTTAAGAAAATAATAATAGAAACATAATTTCCTATTCTTTATTACAAACGAGCTTGTATTTCACCTGTCCAACAAATGGGTACTCCAGCTAGTGCATAATAAAACTATCTGGCTGACAGCCAACATTAAAAATGATGTTTCATTAGCTTTTCACTACCGTCTGATTATTTTAAAACTGCTTATGAGATATATGAAGAAATACAAATGTACATATTCATGTATAAAATATCCAATATCAGCTTAGTTATGGACATTCATGTGTTACTGTTATATCTGCTTAAATAATGTATAGTACATGCAATTCACAATCATATCCAGTTTGACTGTTGCTTCTTCCTGGAGCCATGTTTTTTGGTTACATATGTAACCTATGCCTCTATGTTTCCCACTTACAAACCAAATAAAGAAAATATGTATATAGATCTTTATATTGCCATATTCTAGTTAATGTTTTTGAATTTTCTTCCAAATTTTTTGCATGCAGTCAGGAAATAATAATAACTTCTGATCAGAGTAAATTATTTAGTTTGAGTGAAACTCAAAATCATCCTGGAGATCATTATAGCTAATTAAATATACTATTATTAAGCTTCTATTTATAAAGATTAGAATGGATTATCTAATAAGTTCAATACCCTTGCTATTAGCGATAATATCTCATAAAGTTTGGTCAGCTTAGGAGATTTAGGTTAATCTTAATTACATATTTTGAGCTAAGAGTACAAAACCATCTTTATAATAATTAACAATAAATCAAAATAAA